AATTAATACTAAATAATAAATACAAAATATTAACAATTTTTACTCTAGAATTGAAATATGTTTTGTAATATTATGTTTATAAGTCATGCTCATGAATTTGTGACTTATAAGTTAAGACTTTATGAATAGTTGTATTTACCGTAGTTTTTTTTAAATAGTTTTATAAAAGTATATGTAATAAAAATTCTGCATTGAACCTTGTATCTCTGTTTTATACAATTAACATATTTAAAAAAATATTATATACTTCTATTGCTTTAAATATATACCTACAATGTATACTATGGTATATAATACAAAATTATTTGAGATATTAAAAGAATTATTATTGTTTCTGTTTATGATATTTTATTTTTATTTTTTACCTATACAAATTAAACATTTTAGGAAATCTTAAAATTTTACTATTGACACTCAAATTCTTCACCATATTATAATGATGTATAGAAAAACAATATAATATTTTTTATTATATTTTTTTTCTCAAATTCCATTGCATATTATTTTTATTCTCGCGTTTATTAATGTATATAATGCACATATACATATAATGATGCAATTACGCATGGATATATAACAATTAATAATTAATTTAATTAACTTATGGTGAATGTAAGTTGTGCTATTATTTACATTTAACTATTATAATATAACATATACAATTTATCTGATATAATTTCCGAACTAGCATTTCAAATAACAAAATATTTGGATAGAAGACTTTTCATATAATATAAAATGGATAAAAGCTTTATTTCAAGAGATAATTGTTTATATTATTTTATTGAACGCTATTTATTTAAATTTAATACACAGCATATACGAGAGACATACTCTTCACTTTAGGCATGTAAAATCCAATTTTACATGACATATAACCAATAATTGTTATATAAAGTAACAGTTGTATCACTTAAGAAAATAAAAAAATAAATATACATTTTTATTATACATATATTTATTTTTTTAGATATAACTCTCGAGTTCCATTTGTAACATGAAAATGCCACTATTTAAAAGTTAAAATTATAAATCGACGATCAGAAATACACAGGGATATTAAAATTAAAGATATTAGAAAACTTTGCAAGACTTATAAATCAATTTCGACTTTTTTGATTATGGATTTTAAATATGTTTTCCGAATTAAAACATAACATTTATGATTATATAATATTAGGCGTGATTTATGTGTGTACTATATCATTACTATAGTTGTCACTAGTGGTTGAAGGACACTGGCCGAGGATAGGCAATATTCGCAACATTATACAAATATAATATCTAATTAAAAATAATATAAATATCACCAATCCATCAAAGTTTAAGAATTAATTTTATCAAAATGTTTAAGCAATTCGATAGGTAAGTGACATAGTATTTATTTCATTAAAATATTAAATTGTATTATATAATATAGTTTTAGAAATATAGATTGCAGTAAGGGTAAAGACAAAAAAATATTTGATATTATTGAAGCACACAAAGTAAAAACAGGTTGAAAGTACAAAAGAAAAACAGTTTTAATACTTTATTATTTATTCGAAAAGAAATTAACGTTATATTTTATAATTTTATTATCTTATATTTTGTACAAGTATAAGTGAATGCAGAACAGCTACTACGCATTTTACGCCTCGACGTCATGTGGCGCAATAAGATTATATATTGCGCTAGCGCCTAGTCGGAAAAAAGTGGTAAATATCCTTGAAAACTGACATTTTTTGAGTAACTAAAGGCACCTATACTATAGTGAAAATCAAACGAACGCGTTAAAAAAACACTTTGAACTGTCGCACAATTTATACATTCATACAGTTTGTAGTCTTCACAGTTCATTATAATATAATATTATGTATACATAAAACTTTGCATAATGTTTGTTAAGAGCAGTTAAAATATTATTACTGAAAATGTTAATCAAATTTTCAATTTAATACCGAAACAATAATGTAGTTGTGATAAGTGTTGTAACTGTATATACCTATTAGGTATATTATCACTGATATCATCATACGTATATTGTTATATGTTATTTAAATAATATAGAAGTTAAATAGATAACGTTTTAAACAGAATATTATCTAAGCATTAATCACAGTTAGATAAGTACTATAATACATTTTACAACACGGGTGGTCCTTTGACGGTTAATGGTATCAATAAACAAATAATCACATTCTACCATATTTGGAGATTTATATTTCATCAAATTCGTGGCCCTTTATCGAAACATAATTTTAAAACAAAAAAATAAAAATATTATTTAATTCAAACGAATGAAATTTATGTATTTATAACACTCGTGTTTCGTTGTTGTATTATACAAAAATAATAATAATTCATAATTTATCACAACTGTTATAATTTATGATACAAATGAACATCAAAACACGATAGTGAATCGAAATAAAATATATTTTATTCCTAATCGCTAGTTTTTGATATTTTGGGTAGTATTTACATTTTTGCATACAACGACATCTTATGTTTTGCCTCTTCCTCCCCTAATACATCGCTAGAAACATATTTCTAAAGGCTATAATTTATTATATATGTCACAGTTAAAGTATTAAATTTCATTATCTTAAAAATAACTAGGTAGTTTATAAATTACTTACAAATATTAGTTAAAATTATAAATAATCTATGAAAAAAAAATATAAATCTATTATACTTTGACTAGTTATTTCATACACTATCTAGTTATTCTGTACAATTTAGTTTGATTTCCATTAAAGTATATAGAATACTCGCACATTTAAATTTAAAATGTATTATAATAATTTTTAGTACTTAATTTATTTTTAAAGTGAGTAATTATAATTGTATTAATTATTTGTACATGTGAAGCTATTGTGGTATTTATAATTGCACAATACTTCTTTTTTTTGCTAACACATTTCTTTGTATCACATTTTTAGGTATAAGTCCACTTAAAACCCCTGACTAGTTCCCAATGATTAAACGGTTTCTGTAGATCTTAATGAAATACTTTCATTTGGAACAGCTTCTACCGTTAGCAAATTTTCTGAACACACTATAAATTAAGATAGAGCTGTAATTATAATAATAGAGTGAAGATAAATGAACGAACAATGAACACGTGTAACTGAAAAACTATTACTAAACTTTAAACCTTTGCAAATTCAATGAAAATCTTTATAATTAAATGATAAACGTATAGAATACGTATAGGTACGTGTATAACGATAATCTTATGATAACTCGATTAACATGGACATTGCCATCACCGACAACAAAAACATTAGTGTTATCTGATTTATTATATGTTGGACTATAAAATAACAATATATTGTATATTTGTACAGTTTTACACATCAATGTTGTGAGTAACGTGAATGTATGAAATAACTAGTTAAAGTATAAATTATATCCATTATCTATACGTTTTAGTTAATTCATAAATTAACTGATTTATTACTTTTTGCTGTTAAATATACATATAAACATGTAAATTTGTAAAAATGTAAATATTTATTTTAATTTTATATATTGTAGTAAAAATTCAAATGTGGTTTAAAGTTATGTATAATTTGGTGCAAGAAACATGGATTACCATTCATCCAAGCTCCCTCTATTCACCAGACATCAAACGCGTAATTTCAGTTTTTTAATTGTTGATGCCAAATGTTATAAACAATGACTTTATAGACATTTTAAAATCATAATCACGCCAGAATAATATAAAAAATTTGTTTGCTTTAATTTTTTTTTATTTTGAATTTGATACTTTAACTTCATGATATTGTACAAATGACAAAATCGTTAATTAAAAGAGGGTTTTTAATCATTATTTTTAATAATATTTATAATGTTAGTTTATTGCTTTTAATAATTTAAACTTGTTAAAATTAGTTGATTGTTGGACTACAATAAAAATATATTCAAAAAGTAGAAAAAAAAAAATAAATATTTACTCAATATAAGATTTAATTTAAGCATGTACAACAGACACGTATCGGTTCTTTTTATTTTAGTTTTGATAGACCAAAGAAGGCATTTGATAACAATAAATAAGTGTGTATGCATCCTTTGTACTCCTTTAAACGACGTGTTCGCCAGATATCAATTCACTGGAATTTATAATAATATTAATTGTCCATTGAATGAATTTCAATAACGTTATCATTGATTACTTTTTGAAAATTAAAATTATACATTATGAGTAATGATTATAACATGATAATATTGTATCATATCAGCAAATGTACAATAAACCACCCGCATTCCCTTAATATATTCATTGTGTTCTGTATCATACCCTGTTTGGGTTTAATGTGCCCATTAATTTGGGTAAGAATGACATTCTCAAAACGCCAATGAGTACAATAATATTCATCAATATATAAATATAACACGTTATTTGTTGGTACTAAGTCGAAAGAGTGTCCTTTACATCCGTGTTATTCTTTGCAGAATGATATGACACGATTGCGACCTTTGTGACCAATTGCTTTGCCCTGTAAGGAGCATCCAACCCTTAGAAAAACTAGACAGCTTTGCGGTGACGTTCGTCACAACCTAGGTAGTAAGAGCTGGTTATAATAATATTATGTACACAGTACACAGTACATAGTATACACATCTAAACTCGACGACGTCAACAACAAAAACACGGCAGAAAAGAAAGTGCGATAAACCAAATCTCGTACACAAAACGACGTTAATCGTCGTGTGGCTAGGTCGGTGAAGGATGATCGTTTTTGGTTTTTGTTTGTAGGGTGGTGGTGAAACGACGAATATATTTGGTCTCGCGCGTAGATCATTTCGGCGGCCGGTCGCTTCCTAAAGAAGGAAACAAAAAACGATTATTCGGCGGGGCTAACCGCGACGACGACCCGCACGCAATGAGTTTGCGCCGTGTGGCGTGTCGCCCGCCACCGCCGCCGACGCCGCCGGGGCACCCCCTCCGCCGTGCCGCTGACGACTGCCGAGACCGGCGGCGACGACGGCAACGATGGCAGCGACTGCGGCGGCAGTGGCAGCAGTGGCGTTCCTCCCGTTGATAATCGCGTCGGATTCTCCGTTCGGAGCCGCTCGATTGCCAGTCGTACCGGTCGTCGCACGCGCACACCGTCTCTGCCTTTCTCACTCGCTCGGGCATCACCGCCGCCGTCGCCGCCACCGTCACCGCTACAGCTGTGCGTCGTCTATACCGCGGTTCCGTCCGTGTGCGTCGCGCCGTCCATCCCGACCGCCACCGAACAGACGAATAATAAACAACAATAACGACAACGTCTCACTGCGAGCGTGTAGCTGTGTGCTGTAGCTGCTGCCTAATAAACGGCTACGCCCGATCGCGGATAACATACCGAGGCGGAACTCGGGAAACGGAAGACTCGACAGTGCCATACGTGCAGATAGTACCCGTTTAGTGTTCTGCTGGAAAACTCGGGCCGCGGACACGCCGCAGACATCGACCGGATCGACCGACCGCGGCGGAGGAGCAATATCGCCGGTCGTCCACGCGTACTGTAGCCGGTGGTAATGGGAAAGAAAGGCAAAAAGACTAGATGGCGGGAGCTGCCCATCACTCTGGGTAAGTGGCGTCAACGTGCTGTACGTACGTATGTGCACCGTTCTTAACGTTAATATTTGGATAGTTATTATCAGCCGGCCGTATTTACACAATATTTGTTATGCGGCGACCGTGTGGAGATAACACTTCACGCCCCCGGTATGTGCACTTCTGGGTACCATCTGGTACAACGATTCGTCTCGGTAACGTCTTTCTGAGATTATCCCTGGATTTATTACACTATGAATATGATTTATGTGTCTATTGCAAATGTACGATATTTCTTTCTTTTTTTTTTTGATTTTTCGACCGGGAGGGTAGGTTCCTGACCCGGGTCGTTGGAGATCGAGACACCCACGCGTTATGGGATCACGATTGACGGCTAGCGTACATGCGCCCAACTGCATACATCTAAAACCTTATAAAATATACGTGATTGATGATTTATGTTTAAAAAAAAGAAAAAAAAACTGAATAATATGTTTGTAAGTATTATAACATAATATATTATATTATGTACATGCTATTTATTCGTTGTATGATGATTTCTTTATCGATAGCTGATAATTAAGTGAATTTTATTTTCGTATAATTAAGTAAATAAAGATTTATAAATCATTAGTCTGTTTAGATAAGATTGTTCTTGTTGTCGCTATTACATTTTTAAATATTGTGTTTAGGATCGTTCTAATTTCGACAATAATAATAACAGATTTGCCCAATCGATGAGTGAAATTGCGTCAATTGTTGTAACATTTTCAGTAATACTAATACAATAATTGTAATTTATTTATTATTATTTATATTTTAAACAGTATTTACAGTTCACTATTTATTAAATAATGTATTTATTAATCAAAACGCAAGTATTTTTAAACATTTATGTTGGTGTCTAAAAAATGCGTGTCAGGATTAATTAAATTTTTAAAATTGAAACCCTTCATTAAATCGGTATACTATATAATATACAGTCAACTCATGGTATAACGAAGCAAGATATTCATATAACAAAAATCTCAATATAACGAACGAAATTGTTATTCCTTTGAAAATATCGTGATATAAGTATTTATAAGACAAATATCGATGTAACGAACTCTCGATTTAACAAATCTTTTTGTCGGTCTCTCAAAATTCGTTTTACCATGAGATGGCTATACTTACATGTATACCTACGTATATTATAACTATACAGTGGCTTTATGTCATATATAATAGATACCTAAATGTATAATAGCTGTACATAAGTACTAGATATATACATCATATTACAGCGATGTTCTTATCTTTACATAATTATACCATATGATATCACATACCCGTGATTAGATAACCGATTTTTTTTTTATTAAAACTGCGACTATATATGTATATAATAATTCACCAAATACCTATCCATGAAATCTGTTTATTTTACCGCAGTCGGTTTGTTATGATTACATGTCCAGTTATAATTTGGTCTCTGTGTTGCGTAATGTTGCGTTCACAAACTACATTTAAATTATTTTCTAGGTGAGAAATATCATCCAGAACATTTTGATTAAATTATTATTTTTGTTTATAAAACCACCACATACACTTATATACATATATATATATATATAATATATGTTCCCAGAATGGTCGATTAACTTGGAGAAATGTTCTGAAGAGGACATATAATGAATAGGGAAGATAAAGTGACCAGATGGTCGAGTAAATCCTTTTTATCCTATATTTGAATGACCCCCTAATTTTTGATATCCAATAAAATACCAAATAGGGAAATATTTCTACCCTTAAACCTATACTCAGATTACGAATTTTTTATGAGCATACATTGGTTATAGATAGATATGGTATAACCGAACATTCATGTAGCACTGAATATATAATATAATAAGCTACTTCTTCCTTTTTAACAGCGGTCGAAATGATATAGAGGTAAATCAAGGTGTTTTATTGTTTTTTATAGATCAATAAGTCCTAAGCATTTACATTACGCTTAGCTGGTATAAGTTAGGATATATTTTTAAAATTAAATTATTTATTATAATCATTTTGGTATAGCTATTGTTAATAAAATATGTACGTTGACGGCTGAGATAAATATGTTTTTAATGATGTAAACAATTTATATTTTCAGGAAGTCAGTAGGTAGATATTAGGTAGATAATACAATATACGGTAAGCATAGAGATACCAAACATTATATATGTTATGAATTATATACTATTATACACACTTATACCGATCGCGTGCGCATTGGTTTAAAATCCAAACTACCTATATTAATTGTAACACGATTGATCGCCGGACCATAAACTGCGGAGGACAATTATATTTTACATAATATACATTACGAGCGCTATAGCAAAGAGAATGTGGTTAACCAACTGTGTATCGGTACAGCTGATTTTGTCCCTGTAGAGTAGTGTAGACTATAACAATTAAAATATTACAATAAACATAATAAATTGCAATATATAGATTATAGGTAGGTATTACTATCGCGTGTATAATAATATCATTGCTGCCGCTATGATCGTGGACAACAAATGTACTGCGTATATTAATACAATATGTAGTATATAAGTACCTGCAACCTAATTTTACCTACCTACGTCATAAATTAGTAATATATATTGAAAAAAGCTAGTTTTTGGGATTTAAATGCATTTCATAGCGGCCGTGTGGTAATTGGATGATTTGTTTTACTTTATGAATATTTCAAATTCATTTTATCCATCGTTATTTAAAACTATTTTTCTGTGCGTTTTTCGAATTTATTAATATTTATAGTCAAAACTTAAAATTCAAAACACTTTTAAATATAAGTTATACATGACATATATTATTTAGTTAAAGCTAAGTAGTTTCATTGATAAAAATATTAATGTTAAGCCTGTTAAGGTTTTTATATAATAAAATGATTTATTAATGAAATTAAAAACGTCTTTTTTTTTGTATTTCGAGTGGTACTAATCTTTTTTTACTTAACTAAAATTTGGCATAACAAGAGTTTAAATTAAGTTTATTAACTAAACAACTATAATAACAATAAAAACGCTTATTAACACAAACTAACACTTTTAACATACTAAAATTGGCTAATTTTATACTTTTGTAAGTAACAAATTGTTTTATTTATGTATTTTACATATGATAATATGTATTGCTATTACTGCAATAATATATTTAGTATAAGTATTAACGTTCAATGTTTTTTTCTCTTGCTTTTACTAAAAATGTGCTCCAGCGAATTTATTTTGAGCACTAACACTAATCATTATAATAAACGTCGCACGTTCAAATAGTTTCAAGAAATAAGGACTAATAGTTATATATTTAAGCAATTTTAAATGAATATTACAAATTTGGTAATAAATAAAATAGTGGTTATATTTTATATCTATTTGAATAAATGAAAACAATTTAAATCACTTATTTGATTTTTTAACTATTTCAGACGTCTTAATGAATCTCTAATGAAAACAATTTAACCAACAAAAATATTTTTTAATTATTAACTTAAAAAAAAACTTTAACACTTAAATAAAAGTTCAGTTATGAATGTTATTAACATTCTGAGTTTATAGTGGAGTAAACATTTAAAGGCTCGTTGAATAATATTTTATTTTATGCAACTTTCAGGGACAAGAATAAGGGATTGCCGCGGTGCTCTGTTAGATCGATTTCGTTGTATGCAAGTGCAGGGGTTCACGTTGCCGATAATTCTATCATTAGGTTAAAGGTCAAAGAAGCCATTTGAATAGAACGATTTTTTCAAACATTGTTGATAAATTGTTAATAATATTTGGGCAGTGTTGATTAATGTACACAATTGTGTATACATATAAAATTTTTGAAAAGTATGGTTATGTTTCTGAAAAGCTATAAATTAAAATTAATAGTAATAATTAGCTATCAATATATAATTTAATTTAAAAATATACAATTTATAAATAATTGGATCCTATTAATGATTTTTTTTAATTTATAATTATGCTATAGAAAGTAGGTATGTTTTTGAAAAATGTATAAATCAACTCGTTATGAGTAGGTATTTAAATGCATAATGCACAATGTATCATTTAATTGGTGTTCTAATCGTTAGATATTCGATTGAAGTGTAGCCAGTGTAGGAATTATAATGATATTTATTTTCATAATGAATAAATAAAAAAAAGGTTTACCGTTAATTGGACCATGGCATAATATCGTTAGGTAATTATACTGTTTTGCGTTCGATGTATATTATATTACATTATAGGTATATATTACACTATACAGGCGTATAGCTTGTTTGTTATCGACATAGTTACACTCCGTTAAAGGTTAGATTGATTCTCATTTCTTAATAAAAATACGTAGTTTAAATTTTCTAAAATCTAATTATAAAAAACTTAAGCAATTCATAATAATTAATGAAAATTCTCATGAATATAGTTTTGTATCTTATACCGCTCTTTTATACTCTTGAATACTATGTATAAGTGACAATTATGTACCTAAAATAAATTGTATTCAAACTATTATTCGATTTTTATGATAAATGTACATACAAATTAATAACTATTGGCAATTAAAAAAATAAAATAAAATTTATAAATATTTGTTAACCCATAATTGTTATTTATTTACTGTCAGGAATAAGTGTTCAGTTTTGTAAAATTAATGTCGATTAAAGTTAAGTGGTATGTACGCATGTACACATATTATGCATTTTTAAAATGTACATAAAAGGATTTTGAATATTATGTAACATGATTAGAATTATTCACATAAGTTGAGAAAAAAACGATTTTTAAACATTTTCCACTCTATAATTGTCATGTATTGATTATAAATATTTATATTGTTAGGTAGTTGAAGTAATATTTTTGTTTAAAATAATTATAATTTATTCAAAAACCATGTAACAATATTATAAAGAAACAATTACCAGTTTAGTTTTATATTTTATTACATTTTTATGATTATAAAAATGAATAATTGTTAGAAATTTAAATTTTTAACTGTTCTCATTGTTTATTAATATT